ACTCATACACATCTAGATGTGTATAAGAGACAGAGTATGGAGGGTTCTTTTTTTTTTTTTTTTTTTTTTTTTTTTGAAAAGGCCCTTGTGCAAGACCTCTATCCTGGTGGTGGTAGGATTCATTGTTGGGAAATTTCAAATTTGGGGTTGAACTTGGAGCGTGATAGTAATGGGCAAGGATGGAGCCTTCAACCAGGATGGGGTCACTTTAGGGGGGACGCTCTTATCACCTCCTTAAGTGCTGCTCCATCTTGAAGTTCGCTCCCAAAACAAACAAACAAAAAAGGCGCAAGTTTGGAGAGATTGTCACAAGACTCACAAGCACTCATGGAAAAGCAGATATGGAAAAGGTGGAAAAAAGGCAGGAATTTGAAATTGGAGGGGCAGTTGAAAATTGATGCAGATCCATTAAATAATAGTAATAATAATAATAATAATAATAATAATAATAATAATAATAATATAATCAGGGTTACCTGACCGAACGTTCGGGGGCCCCCGGGCTGGCCCCCGAACGTTCGGGCGTTCGGGGGCCGAACACCTCCAGCTTCGGCCCCCGCCAAAAACAAATAGGGGCCTAAAAATAAGTTTTTTTTTCTGAATTTTTTTTTGTGAGTTCTTTATGATGTAACCTACACGCCCATAAATTTTGAAGCCATTCTGCTAAGCCCAGAAAACATTAAAAATCGTCAAAGATGGGGGTGTCAAAACGTGCTCGCCCACTCACTATTTTGTTTTTTTTTTCGCTTTGTGACTTTTAACTTTTTGTTTTCACTTTATTTCGGGGCCTATTATTTTTATAAAGCAAATTAATGAGTTATTGATTATGTAAACTACATATCTGTAAATTTTCAGGGCATTTGTCAATGCCAAAAAATAATTAAAAATCGGCAAAGATGGCGGTGTCGAAAAGGTGCTGGCACACTCACTCATTTTAATTCTCTTTTTATTTTTTCTTATTTTTATCATAGTGTTTATTTTCTGTATTTGATTTTTAATTCAAATTTGGTAAAGAATTTGGATGTAGTGCCCAGGGGCCAGGTCCCACTATAGACGTTTTACCACGCGGACGTTTGCTTTCCGATCACGTGTGGCAAAAGGTGACACATAACGACCGCCCAACTTCGGGGATCTGAACGGCGGATAAGATTTGGAGGTGTCCCGACCAATATCTTTATGTCTCCCCCAATGAGAGCTTCGAACTTTTCATTCTTTCACCATTTTCTTTCATTCATAGGCCGGCGACGAGGACGCAATATTATGGAGGTCGTGAGGTGGGGGTAATATTGCATCGATCCGGCCCACGGAAAAATAAGGAAAATCGGGAGAAAGGGGCCGTGCTTCGTTCCGAAAACGAATAAATGTTGCCTCTGACAGTTGTCGGGCCGCGGATAACGCGCCGTGGCCGTCGGGCACATAAATGTAGACCTACGTATTAGGCCTCACATAGAGGGTACGTGCATGGTGTGGTGTCTCTCTCGCCCCGAGAAACAGACCACATACATGTAGACGCTGTTTTTTTTTTGACATTCACGCTTACCCTCTTTCCCAATGAGGAAAGTCCGCAAGACATGTGGAAACGTTCGGGATCCGAGGCCGATACTTTGGCCTTTTCCATTACGAATGCCTTGCGTACCGCCCTCCCAAAGTCGGTTCTTTGACGGCCCGTTGCTCATACTCCACCGTTATGTTCTCGTGAACGTCCCGATGCCGTTTGGCGTTCTGCGTTCCTCGTCCGCCATCACCTCACCGTCTGTCTTCCTCGCACGGTCATTACACTCCACTGCTGAATCTCTCAGTGCTTATGGCCTCTTCCAATGATCCCGCGGGACTCTCCTGCATACAGGACTGGCGGTATACGGAGTCCCAGTACGGAACACAGGGACCAGACAATGGACCACTCGGGCCGCATGCGGGTGGACAAGCAGGAATGCACACGCAGCTTCCCTATGCTTCTCGCGGGGACCGTGGGTCCTTGAACGGGACAGGGAGCGAAACCCAGTGGCCCTTGGAAGACAGTGTGGGTACACAAGTCCCAACTTCACGGCCTCTGGGGACACTGGGACAAGTGGGCACGCCTGTGGGGAGTGGGGCTCCATCATCGGACCCCACTTTGTCACAGGTTTCAGAACCTCGTGATGTCACGGGCAGGGTGACACATGCCCCACAAAGTGATTGTGGGCCACCCTTACCTGGCTTCAGCACACCGATTCAGCCCATTGGTGGTTTCTCTTTCGGGGTCGGTGGTGAAGATGAGGACATTTTGCGGGAGCGTCTAAGGAGGCGTGCCATTGCAATTGCGGAAGGGCAACCATCTACCGCACATTGTGCACAACATTTGTCTTTCCACTCTGACGGAGCTCCGAGTGACGACTGTCGTGCTGCGTCTTCTGATTTGTCACCCATCACCTCTGTGAACCACGTTTCCAGTGCTTCTCAGACGCAGAGGGGGGGGGTTGCCACCACGCCACCTCTGTCAGACGTGGGCGTCGGAAGACGTGGGTCGTCGTCATCTCCGGTCCCTCATGGCAGTCCGCATACCCCTAGCGTGGCATCTGAGCATCATGTGCCATCAGAGTACTTGATCAACCGGCTAATTCGGGACATTGAGGATGGCGTTTCCCCCTCTCCAATTGCTGCAGACACTGCAGCGGCCTTCGCAGTCGGTGGCAATGCAGCTGCCCCTGCACGAACACCTCCTCGCCAATCTGTTGATCCGACGCCTGTGAATCACACACCCACCCGGGGCGGTGGCCGCGGTGAATGCAGCCAAAGCCCTTCGGGTGCAGTCCGTGAGGAGGGGACTTCTCCTGCTGCAGGTCCGCAGGGACAGCAAGGTCGGGCATTGGCACATGAAAAGAATAAGGACCGTTGGGGGGAGGATGAGAGTGCGTGGTTGTGCCGGTTCCGCAATGAGGTGAAGTTGCAGATGAATGAGGATACAGAGGCATACGGACGGGCAGGGTTGAAGGCAAACTTCTGGAAGAACGTGGAGCTGCGTATGAAGGAGAAGGGTTACAATCGCGATCACGAGCAGTGCAAGAATAGAGTACTACCGCAGACTGAAGTGCCATGAGCGATGGTCCGGACTGCCGAGCTATTGGGACAGGAACAGCACGAAAAGGAAGAAATACAATGTCGATTTCGTACTGCGTCGAAGTTGGTATGACATCATCAACTCCGTTGAGAAGGACACGGACTCTATAAACCTCACGTATTTGAGGGACAGCGGTGACGACCCTCGGCGGCAGACGGAGACTGACGACATGGCGGATGCGGATGGACAGACGGAGGGGGTGAGCGATGACCCAGGCGGAGGAAGTGGAGCTGCATCCGGCGGGACACGATCGACAACTTTCGAACCCACGCTCGGGAAGCGGAAAAGAGCGGTTTCCAATGCGCGTGARGCCAGCGTGCAAGCGGTGACAAGCGCAATGCGTGACCACACGACTGCGCTCAMACGATCCGATCGAGAGTGCGCGAAGATGCGCTGTGAAACCACTCGTGATGTGGCAAAGCAACAGGCTGAACTGGCTACACAGCTCATGCAGCAGGAATTAGCTGGGCGTGAGAGGGTGGCCAGCATTGTCGGGGGTAGGGTCGAGAGTGGAATAAACCACCTGGCAGATGTCATTGTAATGATGGCATCCCGAAGGAGGAGCCATTCGCCTAATGATCCCACTCGTGATGACTCTGAGTAAGTTTTTTTGGCAAGTCCACCCTGTGAGAAACTCATTGCAGTCTCTAAGGGTGTTCCCGAGCTTGTCCACGTGCTAAGCGTCGGTCTGCCAGTCTCTCTCTCTCTCTCTCTCTCTCTCTCTCTCTCTCTCTCTCTCTCTCTCTCTCTCTCTCCATTTCGATCGTGAATTTTCGTGTGAATCCGTCGATGCGGTTCTTTAACGTGAACTTGGTGTGTTCATGATGTCGGGATTGGGAACGATGTAACCATCTTTCCAAGCCCTCGCAAGGTTTTATGTTCGCAAGGTCCAAATCATGCGTGCAAACGCCTTTTTTTCCATAAGGCGTGAAAACGGTTTTTTTTTTTAACAAGATCCAAATCAATCGTGAAAACGGATTTTGTCCATCATGTGTGACAACGGTTCTTTTTACATCTTTCCATCATGCGTGAAAACGGCTTTTTTTTCCCGACAAATCATGCGTGAAAGCTCTCTCTCTCTCCATCATGCGTGAAAACGGCTCTTCTTCCATCTTTCCATCATGCGTGAAAGCTCTCTCTCTCTCCATCATGCGTGAAAGCTCTCTCTCTCTCTCCATCATGCGTGAAAACGGCTCTTTTTCCCCAATATCCAATTCACTTCTTTTCTTTGTATGTCTTTTTTCTGTCGATAGCACAGACGGACCACCAATGACGGCCACGTGGCCCTTTTACGGTGACAGCCAGTGGAGAAACGAAACAAAAATAAGAAAGCAGTGGACAAAGCATAGCAAAAATGTACAAAGTGTAGCATTCATCGTCCGTGGCAGTG